GGAGTTGCACGGAGCTTGGATCTATTCACTAGCAAATAATATTGCCACAAGGACTGCTCTTTTTCATTATTCCGGTTCTTGGATGGGAAGAGTCTCTCATGTGGCTTTGAGACTCTTAAGTCACTTTTGTTTTCTTCGTTGAAAGCCATTCCTGGAAAGTTTTCTGTTTGTTCTCCTACACTGGCTAGTGGGGATGCTAAAACAGGGGTGCAGCTGTCTGTATGTTTAAATAGGCAAAAAAAAATATCATTTTGAATAAAGCTAAAGCCCCTTAAAGGCTGCTACTTATCTGCTGAACTGATGTGTTGCATGAGCAGTAGACTTTCCCCAGAAATGGGTTAGGGCTTCCAAGGTAATGGTAGGGCTATCGTGATAACGTGGGACCAGATTCCTAGCAGCCTCTGGACAGGTTCTTGCTGGTTTTAGTGGGACCAGCTCCTTTTTCTGCTCGGGGTAGGGGTGATGGCGATGAGGAGAAGAAGGAAAGGGCTTGGGATAGTGGAGAAACCAGGAGTCGTCAATTAGCACATGACAGAACTGAACTTGGCCCAGTAACAGAACTGTGAACCAGAAGACTATCCTGCCAATGTTGTTTATGTGGGTGGGAGCTTGAGTGCAGGCAGTGTCCATTCTCTATGAGGGGCTAGTATATATTTGCCTGTAGTAGTTAAAACAGAAAGGGAAGTGTAGCTTGCCCAAATAAGTGCTAAAAGAACTCTGCAAGTGAGGAGTCACATGGGCAAGGATGACCTGGATGAAAAACAGGCTGGTTATTGACTGGGACATACGTGTTGGGACACCAGTAAAGCAGAATGTTATATAGAACAGTGAATGCTGCCAAAAACACCAGAAAGAGTGCAGTTTTAATAACAGAATACAACTGTGTTGTGTTTAGCAGATGTCTGTTGTACTATTTATCCTACCACCTGCAAGATTAGCCACCAATGTAAATTCTGAGAAGAGATTAAAGTATGGTGCCAGTAAGTGCTCTTTTTAGGAAAATAAGGCCAATACTGACTTATTTACCTCTACATAGTATCTAAAATGCATTTGGTCTCTTGCAATAAGGTCTGACAGAAAATAATAAATCCAGCTTTTGATCGTTAAGAGACTAAAATCCTGTTGCTTCTGAACTTTTTTTGCTCCTCAGTGTGCATTTTACACCACTGAACACCAGGTTTTGACTAAATTCTATTCACGTCAGTGGGATGACTTCTGTTGACTTGAGTAAGCTTATTATAGGAATGCACCTCATCATATTCTCTCACAACATTTAATGGTAGCTTTTAAAGTCAGTTTCAGTAGCATTGCTTGACAAATAACAGGAATCAAGGCCTTATCCACCACTTTTTAAATATTCAGGTATCAACACTGAATTTTGACCGTTGTTTCTGTCTTGCCATATCACTTATAGTAACGCTGAGTGACTACTGCATACGCCATCTGCAGATGCTGTAGTTTTCTCCTCAAGGTTCCTCTAGACTGTGAAATGATTTATTAAGATATGATCCATATCAGAGAGATTGCAGATCAGAAGTAGTCTGATTAAAATATTTGGCAGGCCATGTTTGCTTGAAGATATGTTAAGAGACTAAAAGAATGATCTAGAAAAAAAGTTACTGTAATGAGTAAAATATTTTTCTTCTTAAGTGTTTCTAAGAACTTTGTCTAAATTATCCATTTCATCTCTTCAAATATTTAAGAAATTACATAGACTCCTAGATATTTTCCCTTACAGCAAAATCCTACAGTACTGCCAAATGAATTCCAAATGAATCCTTCCTGGTTTTCTGTATTTCATTGTGTATCGTGGTGATAGCTAGCATGCAATGATCCAGATCATTGCTTCAACCGGGTTGCTCTCTGGCTAGCTTACCTCCAAGACACGTGCTGGCATGAAATGGGAACAGTAACATAGATGCTAAACATTGGTCTTTGAAAAATTATGAAAGTTGCTAATATATTATTCTGTGTCGTTTTTCAGATCTCACAAACCAACCTAAATTTAGGTGGCATGAAGGCCACCTAAATCTATAAAGGGCTCTGAGTTATCTCAAGGTATTTATGCAAGTGCAGCTAAACTTGCGTTGCCTAGATTCAGTGCAACAAACCTTGGAGTGTGTGGTCACAATTTAAGACTTCTGCAGTTTATCAAGAAGCCAAGGCTTTGACCATGTGTCCTCAGGTGACCGATTAGGTAATATTTGTACACCTCTACAGAAAAATAACAGGTTTTTATAGAGAACTATGTAAATATTAGCTATTATGGTTATTAATTATGTTTTGTCGACTGAGGGAATCCATTAAATTCACTGTTATATGTATTTATTATTAATTATGTTTTGCTGACTGAGGGAATCTGTTAAATTCACTGTTATATGTATTTAACAGGCATTCCTGACTTGTGGGGTCCCCTCTTCCACAGTGTCTGAGGAGCTCACATTTCTTTAAAAGATCCTTTAAAAGAGCCGTAGCTCTTCACCCTACATGAGCAAGTGTGCGTGCTGACCCTCGTGTGGCACCATGCTGTGCTATGGGGTGCAGGACAGGTGCCTGGAGAAGTCCCGGGGTCCCTGCACTGTGTCCCACCATGCAGCATGGCTGGGTGACAGACAAACTGCTCATGGTCACATGAGGGACAATGGTATTTCTAATACTTATGGGGGAGCTTTAGCCCATCCATCTTCTCTCCTAAGGCACTGCATGCAGTGAACTCAGAATTAATCTGGGCATCCACCATGTCTGGGGGAGAGTCTGCCACATCATGCAAGGCTTACAACATTGGGTTTTGTTCAGGCTTGTAGCAAGGTTGGGATGGTGCAGAGTTCTGCGGACTGCCTGCCCCCATGGGGTGAGTGTCTGCTGGCCAGCGTGCCTCCTCTCCTGGTGAAGTGACACTCCTGCCTGTCACACTCTGCTGCCCGCACCTTTCTCAGGAAGGTTGCACTGGGCTATCTGCAGCCATCGTGCCTGCCTCCTACAACGAGGCCTTTCTCCTCCATCTCAACAGACCTTGGTTTAATTTGGGCAGCAAGTGCTTACAGATTGCACCCTCTACTTCATAATGTTTCTGTGGCAGCTGTTTTGTCCAGCTATCATAGTGATGTAAATGTTTTCACCCAAAGATCCTTGGATACTTACTAATGTGGTACGCTTTCTCATGTGTTTGTTAATTGCTATTTATTCGCCCGAGAAACTTGCCGAATTCGTAACATATATTTTTTCCACTCTGCTTCTGTTTCAGGGTAATGCTTAATCTGCTACTCAAAACAGCTTTTTCATTCTCTTCACTATAATAAATTATCAAACTGAAAGAAATGGAACTAAGCTCCTTTAGCTTAAATTCACCGAGCTTTTGTTTGGAGGTTGAACAGTGAATCTTAGAAAGCTTGTTTTTCATTTGTCCTGAAACCTTGCCCCTCCTGTCTCCCCTTTTTCATGCCAATAAAAGGTAACCAGAGACAGCTGGGGGCTCTCTTTCTACCTCCCTTGAATGGGAGCGTCTTCTGAAAGCCTCTTTCATGTACCTGCAAAGACCCCGCTCTACTAACCGCTACGGCCGAGGTTCTCAAAGGTTGAATAGGTTTTCATTGCCTGCATTTCTGGTCTGAAGCAGACTGAGAGAAATGAGTGTTAAGTAAACGCGGTGGCAGCCCTGCCAGCATCAGCATTCCAGCCCGCAGCGTCGCTCCGGACCGGGACACCGCCGGCACAGGCTTCTGCACATCCAGCTGTCGGGGGGTTGTTTTACTTGTTAGCAGTTGAAAAGGAGAGGGACGCAAGGCAAAGCAGAGTGGCGAGTCTAGTTTTTATGAGGCTGTTTTTTCTTTCTATAACAAGTGTGTGGTGCCCTATTGATGTTGAATGGGAATTTAATACAGCGATAAAGTAAAACTGTAAACTTACCAAGTCTGTTTTCAGCTGCCTTTGTTCTGTACCTCTAAGCATCTGCAGAAAACGTGTTCAACAGCACCCAAACACTTCTGTGAAATAATGTGTGATCTTATACAGCACCTTCTGCAGAGAACTGATCACCCTGATTGAAGTCAATAGGAAATGAAGGTGTCTGTCTGTCTTTCCATACCAGGCCTTTCGCATGTGAAATCAGTGTTTGCCGGCTTTTAAGTGAAAGGAGTTTTATTTTCAGTTTTCTATCATGAGCATTTTACAAATATTCTGTTGTGGTTTAGAGATCAAGATTTAGGAAACACGGGTACTTGATAATAGAGGTTTTTGGATTTGGTGTTTTTATTAGGGCAAGCAGCCTAATGCCCAGCTTGCAGTGGAAGTTTACACATGGAAAGATTGTGCATTCATAACGTGCTAATAACAACGTTAGAGTATTGTCTGTTGCAGCAGGGGAAAGAACCTGAACTGCATGAATTGGGGCTTTGTTTCCATGAACACCTAGGCATTGTGTAGACAGGAAAGTTTCCCCCTTCTACCAAAATAACCTCATTCCTTACCACACGTAGGCACTCCTACCAGTTCAAGACCTTCCCAAGTGAAGACAGTTTTATTCAGGAATGAGAATGTGAGCTCAGGAAGTTATCTTGCTGCAAATGTAGTGTGGGTTATGCAGATGCTTCCACCTTGCTCTCTTCCAGTTGCTGCTCTGTGAGCTAGAGAGGTTACTCTTGTCTTAGCTGCTTGTTCAAGATCCTTTGCTGGGTGATACCAATCTCTTAGCTCTGCCATGTAGCTGACTTGGACAATGCTCTCTGTCCTGTTTCACTCCCACTGAAATGGTGGCTGGAGCTGCATTAAGGGCATCTTGAGACATGTCAGGATTATCTGTATAAGGTACCTAACGTGGATGTACTAATGATGGCCGGTGTAATGCTGTGGCGGTGTTAATACTGACTTCTCAACCTAGTATGTGGGCTGTTAGGAAGCAAATTACAAGTAAAAAGGCTTGTGGCTGGATCATCAGTGCAGATGCAACTGTAGAAAAAGGAGCTGGGAAGAGTTACTAACATAGTGCATGTCTTGTTCTGCAGCAGTCCTTTGCCACCTACGACCTGGGGAAGACACGATGGTAGATACGATGGCAGACACTGCAGAAAGGTCCTGTGGTGAAGATGGGTGAGAGGCCTGGCTGAGCAGAGAGAGTTGGGCAGGCTGCAAACAACCTCACCAAACCGACGTGTCCATCTCCATCGTGCCCTGCAGCACCACTGCTTCTGGTGCCCAGCTGCACTCCAATGGGCTTCTGGATGCTCAGAAACACGAACTAGAGTAATTTGCCCTAATAATTTTCAACTGTGAGTTCCCACAGCATCTGAAGTTATGTTTACAAAAATGTGTACATAAAGCTACCAGTCTTCAACTGTCCCAGAAGAAAAGTCATGTGTTGATGTAGGAGTGACTACTGATGAAGAATGCTTCAATTTATTGGAAACTGGATGTAAAACATCTTCAGAAAGGTGTTTTTTCTGCACGCTTAGAACCAGGCCCAATGCACCTTTAATTTAAGGTAAGGAGAGTCACAAGTTCCTGAAAATGAAGACCCTTTTCCCCTCTTTCCCCTCTTTTGTTGTTGCCAGTACTTGTTACCGTTTCATTAAGATTTTTTTTTTTTACTCGTAATTGATGGTGCTGTGTTATTTGAATAGTAATTATTTTCAGTTTTGTACGTAGCTGTTTGTCAGTTTATTGAAATGAACTGCCATCCGCACACCCTGATCAAAGCAAAGGGCATGAAATCCCACGTGTTGCACTTTTGAGAGCATCAACAATGAAGCTAACCTTTCACCCTTGACTTTCTTTTAACCCTAGTTTTGAAAGACAGTAGCAAACAATTTAGCTAACTTCTTAAGTGAAAGAATATTCAAACTAGCTCGATTGTAATGCGGTGTCCTTTTCAAGTGAATGGGAGATCTCAAAGTAATGCATACAAATACAGAGGCTGGGTAAGTTCATTACTTTGGAGTTTCTGGTGTGGCAAGAGCAGTGAAATGGTTAAAAGGTTGGCTTTAAAGTGGTCACAATTAGGCTTCAAAGTTAACACCCCACCCCACTGAGATGAATGGGAGCAGTTGACATTTCTTAGTGCTATTGTTTCAGTCTGGCTTGCTATAGCTTCTAAAATAAGACAACAGTACATCTGTTTACATTCTGCTTCCGCAAACCCAGATGGGCTAGAAACTTCATTGTTTTTTAAGTGGAAGCTTAGATTCTGGAGAATACAGTAATATCCACGGGGTATCTGTAGGAAGAAGAGCCGAAAGCTGCCTTAATCGCAGACATCTCCCCCTTCCCTGTAAACTTCTATTGTCCCAGGACAAATCTGTAAATCACTGGGGTGAAAAAAAAAGTCATGTATGTTTGAAGTGCTTTTTACTTACTACATGACATGCACACAATAACTTCTCAACAAGTCCCTAGCGTGCAAATTTTCATAAATGGATATGGGGGTTTAAATTTTTTTCTCTTTCAGTAAGTAGCATTTGCTCTATAAGAAGGTAAAGGTCCTGCTTTTACGGAACGTGGTAACTTCTGTTAACTTCTTCTGACAGAAAAACTTCTCCTGTGTCTAGAGAAGCCAGAGTTTCACCCAGGAGCATTTGAGACCAGGTGTTACTTTCTGTATTCACATGAGTAGAATCCTATGATTTACCTCTGAGAGCGATATAAGAGGAAATAAGATTCTTGAGAGGTACGTCTTGCGTTTTTCTGATACTTTAATATGGCAGATACATTAACTGCAGTAAGCTCTTACGAGCTGGAACGGTTTAATAAAGGTGCAAGTAGGGCCAGAATTTGTAGCAGATGGTCTCTATTACCCCATGCCTCAGTTTGTGTAGTGGAGTACACAGTGTCCTCTCTGACTTTTGTTGAGGGGTCTGCACAGTGGCAAACTGCCCTCAGTAGCAGCCAGAACCCTATGAGAGCTTCTCTGATAAAGGCGGCCCATTAGATATGCTTAGGCTGTAGATTGAAACCAGCTGTGAATCTGTCGGAAAGATTTTCCTCATTGTGCTTTCATCAGGGTGGAAAGTTTGTTGCTCGTTCTGCATATATATATGTATTTTGGGCTTCCTTGCTCTGACTTTGTGAGTCCTAGAGCCTGCCAGTGATAAGGGCTCTCATGCATACAGACACCTTGTGTACACTGGCACCCAGAGACCCTGCCTGCCTTTTGCCCGTGGACATCACAGCGTGTGCTTCGGAAGTGACATTGTGGGCTCTTCCAAATGGCGTCTCCCAGATTTCAACCCCTGGTGAATCGTATGGTGAATGCAAGCGTGCCATCTGTGGTTTGGGCTCATGAAGCTTGTTTCCTGCCCAGCTTCAAGCAGCATTTTCACCCAAGTATAAAATAAAGCAGCCCTGCGCCTAGACAGGCCTCCAGGTTGTCCGAGACAACTGTGGGCATGTCAAGAGTGTGAGCTGTCTCCTCTCTTGTCCTTCTCTTCCCTCCCTGTGTTAAGTGGGAGAGTGCAGCAATCTGGTCTGTATGAAGGAAATACCTGAGAAAACCCAAGAGGAATATTTATTTTTGAAAGCTTCTCTCATGAATTTGTTTTATCTATTTAAAAAATTGCTTAAAAAATAAAATAATGTTAAATCATGCTTGAGAAAAGCAATTCCAGTGTGACAGAACTCCTACAGTGTGCAGCAAGAACCACTCAATACAGCTACAGGAGGAAGGGCATGTTATTTAATCAAACAGGGATTTAGAGAACAGCATCAAATATGCATTTGTTATATTTCTTTCCGCTTTCTGTTTCCCTAGTCTGTTTCTGACTGTGGGGTTCTGTAGTGTTGCGTAGACATGAGTTATGTCTTACGCGTCTTGTGGAAGACAAGAGATATCTATTAGACCTTTCAAATACAGGCAAAATGACTTCTTAAGGCTATGGTGCGTCAGAGGCAGAGCTTGGAAAAGAAGTTAGGAGGTGTGTTGGCCAGTTCTGTGTATTTTAGTTTGCAAACTGACCTTATTTCCTGCATTACAATCACATCGTGATACCTGTATGTTCAGAAGCCTAAGCTTTGCTTTTTCCCCTAACACAGAAAGCTTCCTGAATAGACATGAAGAAAATATTACTATATCTTCTCTACCACTTGCACCCAAACCTGCTTTTTGCCTCATATTCAAAGGTGATTTTGATAACAGAATTATCTATTAGGGAATATGAAACACTGGGGATTCAAATAGGCAAATCCTGACAGGGCAGGAATCAGCTATTGTGATGACATTTTAATACAACTTCCGAAAAATTAATGTGTTATGAGAAAAAAAAAAACCTTTTAATTTTTGAACTTTGTGCTGATGTATTTTTGTTTCAAAAGAAAATTGAGCCTACTATTTAGAAACTATTTAGTTTTGAGTAAATGCTATGCTTCCCTTTTGTGGTGTGTTTTTTTTTAGTCAATTTATAGTTTGCATGCCTACTGCTCCCAGTCTTTGCGCTGGTCTGAGCTTGCTTGCCAACTGGTATTTGCCACTGAGCAGCAGAGTTCTCTTTGAGCAGCTTGGTACACTATGGCAGTCATTATCCCATAGAAGAGGATGAGGAACACAGACAGTCACTCCTACCTATAGCTCTCATGACTAATGCAATAGCAAAAGAGTCAGCAAATTGAAACAAAATTGAATACTAAAAATTGGAATTTCTTCCCAAAATAATCCAAAGGTTTTATTTCTTATTGGAAATTTTTTTTTTACAAAAAAAAGAAAAAAATTGATATTTGCTTACTTGTCCCAGTTTGGGAAAAAATGTTGAATACCAAAGTATTTTATAGGATTAAATTGCTGTATTTTTTTCAGCTCTAATTATGATAATGATGTACAAGGATTTTCTCTTCTTCTCTCCTTCTTTCCTTCTTCTCTCCTTCTTTCCTTCTCTCCTTCTTTTCTCCTTCTTTTCTCCTTCTTCTCTCCTTCTTCTCTCCTTCCCTTTTCCACCCTAGACAATGAAAATAATTTAATCTAACAGCTTTTACATTGTGGTCTGCGCACCAGAGCTGGCTTGTAAAACTTTTTCTTTCAGTGGTTTTATTGTTCAAGAACTGATGCTTCCTGTTACTTCTGGCCATGCATTTTGATTTTGTGAATGAGTAAGCTTAGACAAAAGAGAAAGAATACTAATGAAGTATATACCTTTTGTCCAGCTTTACATTCGCAACAAATTAAAAATATCATCAGAACTGCAAAGGTAACAACTCCTCTGAAAGATGGGGTCAGCTGAAAAAAGGCAGCAGTGAGTAAGAGAAGTCTGGGACATCTTCACGTCAGGCATTTAATAAGGAAGAGGAAACAGCACAGGTAAAACAAAACACAGCATTCGCTCTGGCTGCATCTATTTTAAACTTGATGGCATAGGAACTGTTTTGCATTGCTCCTGAAGGAACAGAAAGTCAATGGGGTTTTTGCTCTTGGTAGGGACTAACAAACCAAGTATCGATCAATTATGATTTAAATAGATAAGTGGGAGCTACATGATTTTACCTGCTTCATCATACTGAGCTTTTTTCCATATTGCTGCTTGTGGTTTTACTGTTCTAATGCTTAATTTTTGTGTAGTTTGGAGGTTGTTGTGTACGTGACTGGATTCACTCCCTACTGGGACATAGGCCAAGATTTTCAAAGTGATTGTTTATTTTGAGTGCCTCCATTTTTTTAAGGGTCCAAAAGTAAGGAATTTTAGAGAAGGGTGGCTTTAAGGGAGTGCAGAGCATGCATCTTCTAAAATTTGGATGTGTCAGTATGGCACAGAAAAACAGTAGAATTAAAAAAGGAAGCAATCAAAATCCTTATTCACTCTTCATCGTTTCAGTGTCTGATCTTTGGTTTGCTGAACTGAGGTGACCAGATTTGGGTACTGCTGTGCTGGAACTCAGTATGTGTACCCTGCCATGGTCCAGGCTAAAGGAAGCAAAGCTGAGCAGCGTGACAGCACCCTGACTCTGCAATTCTCTTTCTTAACCTCTTAATTGCTCTAGGGCTTTATCTATGATTTAGATGTGGTCTTCTGCAAAGATGGTGTTGAAATCAGTGCTGACTGTGCCTCATGGGGAATATATGTAGTAGCTACAGAATATATATTGTAATGTATACATAATCTGTGTATTCCATCTTTCTGTCCATTGTGTGGGTGAAACTAGCCAATGCAGGGGTAGCAAGAGGACAGGCTTTTTAAAAGGACAGCATGAGCATGAATGCTGTCAGGATAGTTGGCTTATAGTTCATTTTTCCCTCAAATTCTTTCTTGCTAATACAGAGCATTATACTGTTTGGGTTGTAGAATAAAATATATTTAAAAGAAATGCTGGTGTTGAGTTTAAAAAAAAAAAAATAGTAGTCCTGGAAGCATTTCTATAGATTTTAGTTTTTTGAATGCCTATTTTTAGTCCTAGATGTCAGCTGACATAAGTCCTTTAAAAATGCACTCTGGATTCAAGGAAAGAAAATAATGAAGGCTAAGCTGTGAAGTCTTAATTGTTAAAAGTGCAACAATAGCTTAAAAA